TGTATGCTCTGCCATTATCACTGAACTAGTATACATATTTGTTTAGGGGCCAGCTGAAGGACGCCTCCGGGTGCGGGAGTTTCTCGCTGCATTGAAGACCCATTGGTGGCCTTCGGCTGTTGTCTGCTCTATGGTCGGGTTGTTGTCTCTTTGACACATTCCCCATTTCCATTCTCAATTTTATCTCTCTTTGTTTGCACATATATATCATTTGTCACCACAAAATCGGGGACAAAAAATTGTGACTTCGCTACATACAGCAATTTTTCTTCAGTTTTGTCAAATGACGCTCCACATTTACAAACATCTTGGATCCTCCGCGGCATTAAACATCATTTCGTCGTTATCTTCTTCATTGGCTGGTTTTAATATATTTTTTTTTGTTGAACGCCATTTGTTAAATATGTGTCCGTTGTTTGCTTACAGGTGACAGTGGTTACGCTTTGAAACCTTGGATGTTAGTTCCATTCATTAACCCCTCTACGCCAGCTGAGGAGGAGTACAACAAAAGACATTGCAGAACAAGGGTAACAATAGAGCAGCTATTTCGAATTGTCAAATCTCGCATTAGATTTATTCATAGAATAGGGGGATGCCTATGTTATGTACCAGCAAAATGTGGCAGTATAATTGCTGTTGTGTTTATTTTGCACAACATATATGTGGATAGTAAGATACCATGTATTGAAAATGATGTTATGCCTGATGAATACAATGACCTAAATCCGCCATTTAATGAAGGTGTGGTATGTGGGAACGGACAACAGATCAGAAGGAATCTCGCCGCTCAGTTGGTTTGAAAAATTGTACAACAATGAAAATGATCAATTTAATTCAATTACTAGTATTTTAATGTTCTGACTCAGTAAGAGACAACTTTGTAACAACAAACAAACAAGCATATTTTACATTTGTAAGTAGCTTATCATTGAACCAGATTGAGAATTAAAAGGGAAACATATTTTAAGTTCTGTTCACTTAATTGTCTGTCTTCTTCCAATTTGAACCTCTTAGTTTCAGTTCCCAAGCGACTTTTCACAATATCAAGTCTGTATTGTTTTACTTGTAATCTCCTGTTCTCTACAACGTACCGTTAGGTTTCAATTTGCAGTTTTTTTCTTTTTCCACTGCAAGCAGCTCTTCATCAATTCTTTCCCCTTCTGTTGTCGATCTTTTTCCTATTGATTAGGTTGCTGTGGTTGTTGCACTGGAACCACTACTCACTGCATTTCAAAATGACATGCATAGTGAAACGTCTTGCCATTCTATTGAACGCTTGTCAAAGAAAAAGCAATGACAGGAAGGAGATAACAATTTAACTTCAAAAGTTTAGGGTAATATCAATGAGCATATCTTTTAATGAATTAAAACAAAATGCAGACACACAAAAGGAGAGACACTGATTTTTTTATCCACACATTTGTTTTTCTAGATCTTAAAACCTAAAAACATTATTGTTCTTGATAAACTTTATATCTTAATTATTGCACTCAAAGCTACGATCTTAGGCGCTGAAGTACGGACCCCCTTTTGTGTGTGTGGTTGATTTTTTATCGAATTCTTCAACTCATTTTTATAGCTTTCTTTCTGATATTGCCCGTATCCATAAAATTTAATATGTCTGTGACAAGGCGTATTGTCTCTGCTCAATAGCCAGTGATTTTTTGTGTCTTAAATGATAGAAAAGAAAGGATATGGGGTATCCATTCATGACAAAATCAGTATATGCACAGACAAAAACAAAAACAACAAAGGAACACTGCTTTTATTGCATCTCAAAGTCACAGTGAGGCCTTCAACATTGAGCAAAAAACTCTCACTTCTCTGCAAGTTTAAAACGACCCTGGTTTGAGTAGAATTCTTTGCAAACCGATGATCACGCAAAAACTGTGAATTGAACTTGAATGGAGGCATGGAGTAATATCAGTAACATTATAAATTTGGCAAAGAAATCAAAATTAGCCCGGCAGTCACACTGAAATGTGCAAAAAACAAAACAAACATTTAGTCAACCGCGGGGCTTAAATACCTTAATTCACCTTATACACGCTTTGGAATATCTGAATCCTAAACTTAATGAAAATTCATTTTCATAAAAAAAATAAAACATATACCCACTTGACCACTTGAAAGTGTGTAGCTTGTATTAATTATGGAACTGACCTGGCTAAGCTTTTATATCTGTTAACTTTGGACTTTCATTGTTAGTTAAAGTAACGGTCTCCTCAGGAAATTCAAGTTGATGTACACAGGAAACGACAGCGTCTGTTAAAAAAATTATTTATGAGTTTAACAGTAAAATTTCTTTAAATCAAATATGATTACTTTTTTTGACAATTAAAAAATTAAAGTGTTTTCATGTTTAAAACGTAATGTTCGAGTGTCAGCAAACACTGTTACACTGTTGACCTTTAAGATTATATGAGCATTTGCTTCTTGCTTATTTTATATTGATGATCAATACACAAAGGCTCGATCGATCTTTACATGTCCATTTAAATTATTTCTTAACTCTAATGTCAAATTATAACAGCTACCATGGCGTATCTAAACAATCAATATTACTGTGAATTATAAAATTATTGCAGATAATATCAAACGTATTACAAAGCGCCATCAAAAATATCCTTCATCCGGTACACTACGATGCCAAAAGTTTGAAAGTTTGTATTATTAATCCAAAACCATCTCGGTACTGTTAATGGCAAATTAGAATAACAGGAAAGTCGAATGAATTATCAAAAAAAAAGAAAAGTGTTCAAGAGGAACGTTAAACCATTATATTAAACGTATATCACCTCCTCTTTCATTTACATTTGGCAAATCTGCCGACTCTATCCCGCCACTAATACCATGGATGGCTATTGGCCCAAGAATTCCTAGAACAACAAGTTCAGTTTCATCTGGATTGCAATTTAAATTTAAAGGTCCGCCTCCTGTTTTGTTTATAGATTTTTTATGTTGTGAATTCTTTTTTTCGTTTCACTTTTGATGTACGTTTACTTTCTCTTTATTTCTTCTTTGGTCCTTTTAACTTGCATTTACCTCTTCTACAATTTGTTGCCAGCCACTTTCTTTGGCTATATGGTTATATGTATTGTTAAAGCTTGTAAACAGAAGTTTTTGTCTTTGGTTGATTCCATCAGTTAGCGCCTTTAGTTTCTGAAAATTCGAACTTTTTGGTGATGACATGTTGTTGGTCTCTGTCCGAAGTGACGTAATGAATGACGTCATACATTTTTTATTTTGACGTCGCAAACACAGAAGTCTACCGTATCCCGCCGTTTCCTTTTAAATTTTAACTCTCAACGGACCAATCAATGGACAAATTTTAAAACGTTTTAAAACGTTGCTTATTAACGGACCATTATTTTTGTTTAATAAAATGCAGATTCTAGAAAACTACGCATGTTAGAACAATTTGTTCAACGTAAAATTTACTTTGACTAATTGTTTTAATTGAACAAATGTTTTAATACAATAAGAATTGCAACTTATGTCCAAACGTTTTTTTATGAATCATTTGTTCGTACTACTCAGGTCAACAGACTTTCCCCCGTGTAACTTTAAACATAGGATTCAGTACTCGATAAACCGAATGACCCCTTGAATTAGCCTAGTCCAAGGAGGATGTTTGAGCAAATTTTATTATAACTTATACTCTAACTGCAAATATATGTTTTTAAAAATAACTGTTGTTCCTGTGTATTAATAATTTATATATTTGTTCATATTTCTTGGAACTAAACAGAGATAAACAGCGCGCTACATTTTCGAAAACAGATATAGGAACAGGAAACGTGCATCTATGAAACCCGACGAATTAAATTACAGTAGACAGTTGATCAGAACTACTCAATAGTTAATGATTACAGTGCAACACATATAATATATAAATATATAAACCAAGTCTGCATGTACTTATTATTACATTCATTTAGTTCTAGTCTGTCCTATTTTCTTCTCGTTAAATTGTTTTCTTTAAATAAGGTCGTTGGTTTTTCTCAATTGAATTGTTTCATATTTTTCATGTCGGGGCCTTTTAAAGACGACTATACGGAATGGTTTTTTTTTTCAGTGATGCAGGCCAGACGGTTGCCTATAATTGCTTACATCCACTTCATTTGAACTTTGGTGGATAGTTGTTTCATTGTCAATCATACCATATATCCTTATTTTTAAAGAGATAATTGTTTGATAAAAAGTAGACAATAGTCAGTTGATCAGCACTACTGACTCAAACGTTGCTGATTACAGTGCAACATATATATAATCACGAGTCTGCATGCATTTACTATTACTTTCCTTTGTATTTAAGCTAGATTTTGACTTGGTTATTAAATCGGGCACTTCTTGAATAAAATCTTCGTTTGTTACGTAAAATGATTGTTCTGTAGATTTACGACATAAGCAATTGCGAGAAACTTGTAACAGTACTACGACAACGTTGGAGAATACAAATTACGACATGTCTTATGCATGTCGTATATTTACGATAAATAATTACGATACGACATGTTGTATCGTATCTTTAGTAATTACGCTAGATTATTGATCTGTATATTTCTTTATAGTTAGACCATAAAGCCAGATCAAACACAACAAAATCAAAAATGTAATATACATTTCAGGGAAAGCCTTTTCTCATGTTAAGTTGATAAGCTTAAAACATGAAAGAAATATGTTTTTTTGAAAAAGTTTATATAATTTGTTCTCTTCAAACTCAGATTCAATAACATTGTATCTACCAACAAGTACAAAACAGAAGACTTGCATTTGTGTCGGAATTTTGTATGGTCAATAAACCTTTTGTATTAACTAAGTTTATCTATTCGAAAAAATAGTGCCGAACAGAATAGATATTTGGTACGATCTTTTGTCATCAATTGTCATTCATACTATGAAATTAATAATTGAACGTCACACGTTTTTCCTATAGGTATTTAAATATATCGCCACGTAGGAATAATTTAAATCCCCATAATGCAATAGAATTATCAATATTTTAGGTACTTCCCCTTATATTTGTTTGTTATTGATACACCCATTTCTTCTATCAACACGGAGTATATACAATAACCTAAGGTTAGTCGATTATTTGCCGATTTAAAACTAGTGAAATGTTTACAAAGAGGTGATTCACCGATTATTAATCCATTGATCTGAATTTCTACTTTCGATTGTATTTGAGTTATCCATTTCAGTGTTTATATTTCATTGGACATATTACAACGATTATTTCATGTCTGGCTGTAGATCGATAAAACCTAATTTACATAAATAAAGGCAACAGTAGTATGCCGATGTTCAATAGTCATAAATCGATTAAGCGAAAATAAACCCGGGTCACTGAAACCAAATCCGAGGGTAACACATCAAATATAAGAGGAAAACAACGGAACAACAGAAACACTGAACTGCTTCAAAAACAAACGCCAACATACATATAAACGGACTATTTGATAACAACTGCCATATTCCTGAGTTGGTACACTACTAATTTTTTGGCGTACAAAATATTTTAACCCTGATATCTATGATTAGTTTATTTATACTACTGCACAATGTTATAAACTAACACTTATTTGGGGAATTGAATTTTTGTTTACTTATAGTTTAGCCTGAAGTGGTGTACTTCAATTCAAAGAAATGAAAACTTTAGAATGTAATGTTTTTCTTCAAAATGGCCGTTCATTAAAGTTTTATAATGTTTGCATTGAAATCTTATGAGAATAAACTACAATGTACAATTAAACCGTTAAGTTTGTTTGTTAATTACATTACCAGAACTGTGTGCATAATAATGATTTGGTTACATATCACCTATTTAAAACACCAATTTGATTACGTGTATTTATATATTAAGTCATTTATTTAAAAGTCCTGTGATTATTTTTAGAACTCAATATCTCATAATCATGGGGATTTCCCTATGGATTACCACACCGTGTCTAAAACGGTCGGGTACACTACTTTATACACTCGACCACATCAGCTGTATAAAATTATAACTTCAAAAGTCGCGTAAAGCAAATCTAGAGATAGACATCAAACATATGCTTTTAGCGTGTGTAGATGTTATATTATTTTTTATACAGAATGTATTTTTATTTGTCAGCAATATATAGCTAACTCAACAATTTTTTATATATCGTATTGGATAATGATTCAATTCATTACACAGCCAATAAGTATATCTTACAGACAAGTCTCAGCAAGTGACAACCATACAATATATATGCCTACTAGATGCCAGTTTGTTTGAGATACAGGGTTAATACCAACATTTATATAAGTCTTGAAATTAAACCCAACGGTGTTAGAATTAGATTTTTATGCTGACTAATTTTTGTCCCTCAACGGGAACACCTTTGATTCACTACAGTACCGATCGCGTAGCGTGATGTCCAGCGCTCTAGACTACTCCACCACATCCGTTATATAAAAATATGTCACGTAAGGCAAATCTAGAGATAGACATCAGACATGTGTTTTGAGCGTGTGTAGATGTTGTTATATTTTTATACACAATGTATTTTTATTTGTCAGCAATCTAACTAAACAATTTTTCATATATCGTATGGGATAATGATTCAATTTATTACACAGTCACTAGTAATAAATATATCATACAAACAAGTATCAGCAAGTGACAACCATACAATATATAAGCCTACTGGATGTTAGTGTGTTTGAGATTTAGGGTTAATGTTAATATTTATATAAGCCCTCAACGGGATTTGAACTCGCACCTTTAACACACTACAGTATCAATCGCTTAACGTCAAATCCAGTGCTCTATACCACTTGACCATATCCGCTATATAAAAATATGTCACGTAAGGCGAATCTAGAGATAGACATGAGACATGTGTTATGAGCGTGTGTAGATATTATTTTTTGCACAATTAATTTTTACTTTTCAGTAATCTAACTCAACAATTTTGCATATACAGTGTGTTTAAGATACAATGTTAATGCAAATATTTATAAGTCTGAAAATTAATCAAGGGCATGAATGCATGCATATATATATCATAAACTGTGTTACAACTCTAGATGCTACTGACGAGGAAAGGTAACACTAGACCAACGAAAGCTGAATTGTTTGTTCAGTCTAGGTGGCCGAGTGTTAAAGAGCAATGGACACAGTGCAGGGTCACTCATTTTCACATACCACTACAACAATATTTCTTCAATAACTCTTACTAACAACTATTTTATTACAGAAAACAATAAAAATACAAATGATAATGAAAGAAATACTACCACTACTAATAAAAATAATAATAATAATAATAATAATAATAGTAATCATCATCATCATCATCATCATCATCATCATCATCATCATCATCATCATCATCATCATCATCGTCATCATCATCATCATCGTCATCGTCATCGTCATCGTCATCGTCGTCGTCGTCGTCGTCATCGTCATCGTCGTCGTCATCGTCATCATCATCGTCATCATCATCATCGTCATCATCGTCATCGTCGTCATCATCATCATCATTATCATCGTCATCATCATCATCATCGTCATCATCGTCATCGTCGTCAGCATCATCATCATCATCATCATCATCATCATCATCATCATCATCATCGTCATCGTCATCGTCATCGTCATCGTCATCGTCGTCGTCGTCGTCGTCATCGTCGTCGTCATCGTCATCATCATCGTCATCATCATCATCGTCATCATCGTCATCGTCGTCATCATCATCATCATTATCATCGTCATCATCATCATCATCGTCATCATCGTCATCGTCGTCAGCATCATCATCATCATCATCATCATCATCATCATCATCATCATCATCGTCATCATCGTCATCATAATCATCATCATCATAATAATAAATTAATAATAATAATAATAATAATAATAATAATAACAAATTAATAATAATAATATTAATAATAATAACAAAAACAATTATTATTGATAAAATTACATTGTTATTATAAAAACATTAATAACTAAAGCATGTTAATGAGGTATATTTATTTTGTCTTGTTTTGACAGTGAATATGTGACGGAATTCGCAAAGACGAATTTATACTAAAATCATGTCCGGCCTGGGAACAAATCCTATTGTATGCAGCAATGGTTCATTGATGACAAACTATGCAAGAATTGGGCATGCTGCACAACAAGTTTTTCCAGACATTTTACAAGATATTATCGCAATAACAAAACCAAAACATTGCCTTTATGCTGACGTGACAAGCAATAGGTTTCTTCACCGTAATTTGCGAGCAGATGAATGGTCAATGATCAACAATGTACGTACAAATGGTTACGTAAACTTTGATATTCCATTGGTTTATAAACTTGTCAGAAATTTAAATTTAGTTCCTTCTCCGAGTAAAGGATGGGATTTTCACATTCCTCCAGCAGCCACTGAAATATTACCTGGAGATGATATTGAACGTATCAGAAGGATTAGAAATGAAATTCTTCACAGAGGGAATGCGCAAGTATCGGATACTAGTCTAACTGATTATTTTTCCACTTTTAAAGACATTGCTATTCGATTGGAGACTTATATTGGTAAGCCAAAAGGAGAATTTGTACAGAAATTTCAAATCTTGGAGAAATGTTGCATGGATGAAGAAACTGAAAAGACATATTTGGAACGTCTGACTATACTAAGAGAACGGGACATTAATCTGTCTAAAGCTGTGGAAAATATACAAAAGGATATTGACTCTCTTCTGTGTAAAGGTAAGAACGCATACATTAATTTATATTTTCCCCTTTCAAAAACGTGTAATTAGATTAAATAGGTGTACAAAGCTCAGTATGGCTGATTTTATGTGTTTGTTTTGGAAACTATATCTTCTAAAAACAAAGCGTATTTCTTGTTGTTTTTATTAATATTAATTTACATTGATGTATATAAATTGAATTATAACGCAAAATAACATTCCTTTATCAAATTTTCTCAGTATACACTATTCATATAAAATCATCTCCCAAATTAAAACTATATAAAAATATTATTTACAATAAAAATTTGATATATTCATGCATGAGACCTGTAGTTTGAAATTTTAAAGTTATATATGTATGATAAACATATTTATCAACAAAGGGCTACAAGTTTATCTAGATAAGTGTGGTGTACATATATGTGACCTATAATTGTTTACTTTTTACACATTGTGACTTGGATGGAGAGTTGTCTCATTGGCACTGATACTATATCTTCTAATTTCTTTGACTGCTACTGTACTAGTGATATGCTTGTTTTTTTTTGCCACAATCATATAATACTTTTTATATTTATGATGTCACATCGTATTGCATTCTGACACCCATCGAAAGGACTAATTCAACTTCTTTTTTAACAAGCCTTAGTTTTTGTGATTTTAAATCTTTAAATATCATAATAGTCGTATGATGATCATGTGAAAAATTACTGGATAGGTTCTATTCCTTTGTTGTAAAATTTAGACTGAATGAGTAGTCATATGACACATAGCTGGAGACGCTTAAACTGTAACGTCACTGTGTCTAGCACCGTTTGGAGTTTCTGCGATTTCCTCTGGGTTTTTTTTGTATATTGATTGTTTGTCAAAATTTAAATTAAGAGATTTCATATGTATATCACTGTTACCCCTTATTCAATAACATTTGGTGATTTTCAACCTTCTGTCAGGAAACTCATGACAAGAAGACATATAGAATTATACTCCATTTATGCTGCATATTTGGCTGTCAAACAATGATGGTGCTTAGTTACAATAAGAATGATTGATTTGAAATATCTTAGTACAATGTACCAAAAACATTCTTCGACAACTTCCCTCATTTATTACGTAAACGTCATAAAAAGTATATACGTGTATATATATTATTATACCTTACATTTATGATGAACAATTATATTGGGTTATACATTATCATGTGAAAAGGAATAATTAATTTAGTATTAATCTAAATGCTAGGAAGAACGAATAATCCCAGCTTCTCGATTTGTACACGAGTTATCTCCCATCAAAATGACATCACATATGAATTTAAACAAAACGACAAGGGCAGGATAGAAACCTATCGAGTGACAACAAACCAAAGCTGGGAAATTAATCTAGTGTTGAGGATGTTCCCTATAAACAGCCCTTAATAGGTCCGTCAATATTTTACAGGCAACAAAGTCTACATATGAGAAATTAATTCTAAGACACAAAGCTGTGCCATCAAAGAGATAACCGTTTGGGTTGCCAATTTTGAATATTAACCTTTTCTACTGGCCATAATTGTATTTGTTTTTTATTTACTCGTTGTCTTCAAGCGCGAAAACTACCACAATACAAATGTTCCATGAAAATTAGGAGAAGGTTCCGGTTATATTACCAACTAGTTGTCTAACCAGTTAGTTTCATGAGTTTCAACCTAAAGACAGCGTCAAAATGCTATTCGTTATTTTGTTGTATTTTATATACGTTATTTTATCAATTGGTTATTTAACACGTATTTGTTTTGTTGCTTTCTCTTGAGGACTGTGCACTCTATTGCAAAGTCTAGAATAAAATTAACCACTTTATAAATTTATCATGTTTATGTGTCCGAAGCGTTTTTTTAGTCACCTGGAATTTTTTTGTTGTGGAAGTTCACCGATGGTAAAATGGACACATCTGTTTGGCTGTGTGGTATGTTTCAAAACGCAGCCACATCGGATAAGAATGTGGACGCTAAATCCCACGCTCGGGTAAAAAGTGTTCTTAACTCTCTGACCGTCAAAGGAACCTTTCAAATATGTAGTTTGTGTGATGTAATGCCCAATTTCTTCCACTTTCCAACATGGCAGTCCAAATTTCCAATCCTTTATGCATCTCAATAATACTGTGCAAAACCTATTACTGTAAAAAATATTTTATTTGTTGTTTAATTTATTCTCGTCCTGATCCTGCATGATATATTTTTTTTTGGACGTTTAGAAAAACAACAATATATCATTCAACTAATCAATAAAAATTGTCTCTGTAAAAGTAGACGTTGACGTTTAGAAAGTAGCATTATCTGTGTAATATTATTATCATTATTTGCTTGTAGAAAGTCATCAGATCGTAATTGAAGAATGGGAAGAACAAAATAAATTGTTCATCAAAACAGATGCCGTTGATTTCATTTTGAAATCCTTGACTGACAATAACTGCTGCACGGTTATTGGTACATCAGGAATTGGAAAATCTGCAACTATTCATCATGTTGCACTATTTCTACGCGACACTGAAGGCTATCGTATTATTCCTATACACAGTCCTTCCGAAATCGACAAGTACTTTCAGAGAAATCGTAAGCAAATATTTGTAATCGATGATATATGTGGGAAATATACTGTCATCCAAATGGAAGTTGAAAAATGGATTAAACGAAATGATTCAACAAATTGTGTGTTGAAACATAATAGTACGAAAGTAATTGCCTCATGTCGCATTCAAGTGTTCAATGAAAATCAATTTAAAAGATTGAAGCTATTTACTGAGAACTTTTGCAATTTATCTTCTAAAACCTTTTATCTATCATCTCAGGTAAAATTACAAATTGCCCGCCAATACTTACCCGAACTTGCGGTGGAACATATCAAAAATGATTTGGACAATTACGAGTTCCTGCCTTTAATGTTTGCATTGTACAAATCATTAAGCAAGGAAAATGAAAACATTGACGTCGTTAATTTTTTCAGAAACCCGTTTGATATATACACTGAAGAAATAGATGCGCTGCATTTGCTTCTCGACAAAACAAAATTTTGCGCATTGTTTTTCCTCGTTATATCTAATGGATCTTTAAATGTATCTCTCCTTACAAATTGTGAAAGTGAACAAGAACGACAAAAAAGGGAAGACTTCTTTGAAAATTGTGGAATTCCGAGAAACACTCTTCGCCAGCGTATACTTGAACAACTGGAATCTCTTGTTCCTTTATTTGTTAGATCTAACTACGATCGTTCTCGACAAGTTATATCATTCTCTGCAATACATGATAAAACGTTTGACTTTCTCAGTTTCTATTTTGGCCATAAGTTTCAGAAATCATTTTTACGATTTGCTGACAGTGAAATGTTATACGAACGCACAATGCTCAAATCATTAATTTCACCGGATAAGACAGTTGAGGATTTCACCATCTGGATAGCTGATTTCAACGAGGACGAGTTCTTTAAACGAATAATTGATCAGTGGTCCATGGGAGATCTTGTTTCCCTTTTTTGCAGCAGGCAAATGAGTTTGGAAAAATGCAGAAGCAAACTAATTGATTATCTGAATAGATTACCGGCAGACAGACGCAGAGAACTGATAACTTTAAGCATCGAAAAAAAAGAGTCATTTGTTGAGTTTGATTATTGGTCTGATGGTTGTTCCGGATTACTTTCTCTCTCACCGTTGAGTTTAGCTTTTAAAAGAAATTTTTCTGATTTAATAAGGTATATATTAAATTCTATTAAAAATACTAAGGGAGAAGGATTTTCTATTTTGCTCATAAAAGCCTGTTCTGCGGGTCTTACAGATGTTGTTAAGACATTCATAGACAAGGGTTCTGATATCCATGTCACAGATATGGATGGACTTACCCCGTTAATAGCGTCATGTATAAATAACAACAGTGATATTGTCAGGTTATTGATAGAAAAAGGAGCAGACGTTAATCTATCTGATATATCAGGAGAAACCCCTCTTATTTTGTCATGTAAAAATGGTAACAGTGACGTTGTCCGATTATTGATAGAAAAAGGAGCAGACGTTAATTTATCAGATCGAGATGGACATACCCCTCTCATTTTGTCATGTGAAAACAACAACAGTGATATTGTCCGATTATTGACAGAAAAAGGAGCAGAATTACTTGAAATTGATGAATATGACAGAACCACTAGATTATGGTCATATCACAATGACAACAGTGATATTGTCCGATTATTAATAGAAAAAGGAGCAGATGTTAATGTTTCTGGGGAACTTGGACAAATCCCTCTCCTTTGGTCATGTAAAAATGAAAACAGTGATATTGTCAGATTATTGATAGAAAAAGGATCAGACGTTAATGTATCTGATATGGATGGAGACACCTTTCTTATATTGTCTTATAACAATAACAACAGTGATATTGTCCGATTATTGATAGAAAAAGGAGCAGACGTTAATTTATCTGACATGGATGGAGAAACCCCTCTTTTATTGTCAAGTAAAATGAACAGTCGGGATATTGTCCGATTATTGATAGCAAAAGAAGCAGACTTTGATGTATCTGACAAGAATAGAAAAAACCCTCGTATATCGGCATGTTACAATGACAACAGTGATATTGTCCGATTATTGATAGAAAAAGGAGCAGACGTTAATTTATCTAATAAAAGAGGAGTAACCCCTCTTATCAGGTCATGTTACAAGAACAACAGTGCTATTGTCCGATTATTGATAGAAAAAGGTGCAGAAGTTGATGTTTCTTTTAAAAATGGAGAAACCCCTCTTATAAGGTCATGTTACCAGGACAACAGTGATATTGTCCGATTATTGATAGAAAAAGGAGCAGAGATTAATGTATCTGATGGAGATGGAAAAACTCCTCTTATATGGGCATGTAGATATGACAACAGTGATATTGTCCGTTTGTTGATAGAAAAAGGTGCAGAAGTTAATGTACCTATTGAAAGTGGAGAAACCCCTCTTATATGGTCATGTAAACATAACAACAGTGCTCTTGTCCGATTAATAATAGAAAAAGGAGGAAACATTAATGTTTCTGATATAAATAGAATAACCCCTCTTTTAGTGGCATGTAACAAGGACAACAGTGATATTGTCCGATTATTCATCGAAAAAGGAGCAGACATTAATGTATATGATGGAGATGGAAAAACTCCTCTCATATGGTCATGTAAACATGACAACAGTGATTTTGTCCGATTATTATTAGAAAAAGGAGCAAAGATTAACGTCTCTGATTTTGATGGAATGACTGCTTTGTTATATGCGTCCAAAAGTAGATTTTCCGACATAGTTGAAGAACTGATACTGAACGGAGCTGATGTTCTCTTAGCGGATAAAAATGGGAAAACGCCATTGATGTATGCGAATGAAAACAAAGATCGTAAAATTGAAAACTTTCTTAGTAAACACCTATATAAATTACACATTTTTGATAGAAAGCGTAAAATATCTAAAAACGAAACTGATATTGAAGTCAATTATGAACGAGAAGCGAAGTTTTTGAAATTTGAGAAGGATAAAGATTAAAAGCAAGTGTTAGTTACTAACCATAAAATGTACAACCTATTTCACAACTCCGAATTGTTTGATTTTTTTTTTTGTTAAAATATGAACAAATTCTTAGGGAATTGAAAAAAAAACAATTGCGGCTCATAAGATTTAGGGGAAAGAACACTATTATCGTGTTTAAATCACGACAAACAATAGTCACTTAGTCAACTTACTTCGTCCCTTATACAATGTACAGAATAATATACCATTATCACTTTATCATACATTTCTTCATCTTTGGTGTGGGATAAAATCAAAGGGCATAATAACCTGCTTCTATTTTACTTGTGTTTCAAGCAAGCATTTGATGGTTTGAGACATCATGTCACGCGGGTTTACTGTTATAAACTTTGCCACCTTCACTTTTGACCACCTCCTCAGTGTCCTGCAGGTGGTGTCAAAAGTTACACATGCTTGTGTTCTTTTAAAATTGATAACATGTGGAATAAATGTCCCCAATTTCTCTACTTTATTTATAACTTAAGGGGAACATACATAACATTTATGTTGGAGGCATTAATGTCATTAATACCATTGTGAGAGTACTAAAGAAGTCGTTTAAGAATAGATCAACCAAGGATTTGTATATTGGATCAACAGTGATAACATTTTAAGCTGTGATACCCAAACAGCCTTGTTATGAAATTTTGGACATATTTCTCAGGCCTGCAGGTGAAAATAAAACTATTTTTCGGCAAGATAAAAAAATTACAGTACATGGCCTTTTGTTGTGGGTTTGTTGTTAACCGTGAAATCGAAACAGGATAACAATTAAAGTTGTAGTTTATAAACATAAATCCAAATAATTGAGAAAAGTCAAAAGAATGAAAGATAAAAACAACAGTAACCGTTGGGCTTACTTGTACCATTACATAAAAACTAAAATTGTGCCAGTGACGGATCCAGAAATTTTCTTAAGGAGGCCCACTGACTGTCAAAGAGGGGGTCTCTCTTGTCATGCTTCAGTGATACCCTAAATAATCAATCATTTTGTTTTGCCCACAAAAAAGGGAGGGGCAGAGTGCTCTAAATCCGCCGCTATGTGCAATACGAACCTCCAAAATACATGGGTGAACTCAGGTACTGTGAATTATAAACAGTAAGGAACTTCCTCTGGAATTTCCTGCTCAACATGTGGCAACCTAGGTTTTAGTATATTTCACGGCAAATTTAGTAAGTAAAATTTTGATTTGATTGGCCATATTGACAAACATGTGAAGATAAGATCTGGTGAGCTTTTCGTTGAATATGATGAGGAGATAGTGTTAAAAGTATTTGCATAGTCCATGAGTTGAAAATTATAAAACAAAATATATTGTTTAACCTTGGACAAAAAGATCAAGTCCAACATTTAGCCATTTCAAGAATCGATCAATCTGATAATGTAGCACTGGGTATTTTTATGTGTAGCTGTACCTTGAAGAGTATGCACACTGGCGGATCCAGAACTTTTAATAAAGGGGGGGGGGGGGCTGACTGGCCTAAGGGGAGCCCGCTCCAGTCATGCTTCAGTGATTCCCTATATAATCAACAAAATTTTTCCCACGAAAGGGTCCCCCCTGGATCCACCTATGATGCAATTTTAAATCAAGGAGGCAGTAGGAAAACTTATAGGACATTTCCTAATAACATTACAAAAGAACTTGTCACAGATTCTTAACTGACTTCTGTCACATTTATTAGTAAAATTTCTAATTCACTGAAAACTGTTGTACACTGTCACAGTGATACTCAAATTGCAGACTCTTATTAGTAATAACAAAAATCTGTGTTTTCTGTGACATCATTTTGTAAAATATATGTATATATTTAATTTATTACAGTCTAACTGTCTAACATTTAATTCTTCTCTGATTAGAGTAATTCTCGTTTGTCAATTTTCCAAACCCCCTCTCAGCACAGTTATTTAATTATGAATGGAACAAATTGTGAATGAGTTATAAATAATAAATAAATGATTGAATCTTCTTTATTTACCTTTTCTTTATTCTCAGTTTTTCCAGACATATATATGCTCTGAGAATAATGTCTCTGCATGATTCTTCATAATTAAGTATACTTAATCATTCTCTATAATCCTTTATCATATATTTTTGCTTTTTAACTATCTATTTTTTTGGGTCCTTATTTAAATCCCCATTCTTGATTCCAGACTAACTCTCACATATTATACGTAAATGTACGAAAGCTTGGCACGTCGAATACGGAAACCCGAAAATCTTTTCACCGTTGCCGTTTTTTATACTATGACGCAAAATCCATGGACGCTCGTCTGCTGGCTGGATTTGGGATTTATGTTTGAATGGACAAAAAAAGTCAGTTGATACAAAAAAACTTTGGTTTTTCAAACTAATGGTTCAAAAAGTTATTATAAACAGATATATTGAAATGGGTTACATTGTCGATTAACAGGAAGAAAACGGGGAACCAAACATACATTTTAGAAAGTCAACGCAACAAAAGTGTTTCGTTTTGATGGATAACATACCAACTTTGTACTTGAAAAGCGCAATGTCCAATGAAAGGTAAATATAATCATGCATATTTTTAGGAAGATGCTAGTATTATACTTTCCACGAAAAACCATTTGACTTTAAATTAATATCCATGTCATGCATGTAATTGTAAACCCATAAATCAGTCAAAGATTGACAAAAAAAGGAAGCAAGTCAAAGTTCTCGCCCCACTGTCAAAACGCCCCACTTTTTTAACAACACAACCCTTTTATTTAAATCGCTCCACTCCTGTTTAGGGAGCTTAGTCTCAGCAACCATTTGAATTGTATGGGAGAAAAGGGGGGGGGGGTGAAATTTGAAAAAATCAAGGACAAGTTTTGAGTAAAAAAAATAAACGCCAGAATCGAAACGAGTAAAGAAAATGCAGGATAACATTTTCATCCTAGCCCCCAAACCCCAACCCCTTGAAAATCAAGTGGTAACTACCTTACCAACTCGCCCCACTTAACAAAATGATTAAATCCAGTTAAATATCAGGGTTTGAAATTAGCAGGGGCCGACTTGCTAATGGCCCCTAAAATTTGGAGTGGTCTTCTAAAATTTCTGCTTTTCTTGTATAGAACTATATAAATTGGGTATGAAATATAAGATGTGGGCTACTAATAGTAGTAATAGTACTATGCCAAAATTTGAACTTTTTTTGAATTTAAATGATGTTTCACTTCTGAAAATATAATTGATGTAGATTCATTATTTACAATTATTTGATTTATATATTTATTGGAGAATAACTTTACTCTTGCATGCTTAGTGATTTGGAAAACAATTGCAAAGAAACCTGTTAATTGTATCATAATATATATCTTATTGTTTTTTTAACCGACTCAAAATCATGGCATGATGCTGTTAGGGCCCCCTGTTGTACTTCGGAAGTGGACCCCTCAAGAAAATGAAAAGTCTACTTTACATGTACGTAATGTAAATATAAAAATAAGAAAATGTGGTATAATTGCCAATAAGTAAAGAGAGGACTTTGTAAAAGTAAAAATTCACTTGTTTTCCAATCCTAATAGAACTGTCATATATTGTATGTTTTAATAACCTAATTATTTTCAAAATAAAATATTGTTTACACTAATGAGAAAAGACAACTCTCCATCAGAGATCAAATGACATCGAAGTTAACAACTATAGGTCACCATACATCCGTTAACAATGAGCAAAGCCCATACATGTACATTGTACCATATACTGTAAACTCTGAAATTATTGCGTGCATTTATTATTGGGATTTTTATCATTTAAGACTTAAATGCGATTTAATTTTTTACGATTTTGAGAAAAATTCTGTTAAATTCATATAAAATATTTCAAAATGCGAGTTTAAATTATTGTGTTTACAACTCTGTCACATTTTTTGCAATAACATGAATAATAAAAACCTCGCAATAATTTCTGAATTTACAGTAGTCAGCTATAAAAGACCCCAAATGAAAATGAAAAATTTGTAAAACAATGAAAACAAGAAAACCAACATGTATATACAACATATGATACACAACAACAACCTGCACCACTGAATTACATGCTCCTTACATGGGACAGGCACTAATATACAGGATGTGATGGGGGCTAGACTATATAGTTAGTAGTTTGTTGTGCCAAACCCACCTCCTAACCTGGTATATTGATGTGAAAAGGGCTTAACTCATCAGATCTATACAAAGAAGAAATACCTCTAACAAAAACACACAGAAGACGTGCTTTTCGACAGAAATTTTATCCATCCATTGGCAAGATACATTGAAAGATTGTTTTTTTTTTGTTAAATGCCTGAAGTACGGATTATAACACAAATGAAAACATGTTATGTTCATGAGTTTAATTTTTCCTATATCAAAATGGTGTATTTTAACATTTTTGCCTATTAACTTGAAACAGCAAAACAAGATCTAATAAACAGCTGACGGTTATTAATGCCTGAAATGATTTTTTAACTGTATACAGCAGAATAGATCAACTAAAACCAGAAAGTTCATACTGTACATTTATTTATCAGCTAAACTGTTGACCTTCTTTCTGTTGTTTGCTTACATGTTGTTTCCATTCACTCAAAAGTAAAAGTATTATATATATATAGTAAAGGTATAAATTAGTGAGCATCAGCTCATCATGTACATACTACATCTAGTTTTTGTCCGGACTCTTGATTAATAATTTAGATTTACAATTTTAGATTGATACCAAAAGAATGGAAAGTACAGTATTAAAACCACTGGTGAACATGTACATGTAGGTGCGAATGTCCAGCAAAAAGAAATGATATCAAAGTATGTTCATCTGTAGAATTGCAGTTCATTTAAATAATTTGATGTAATCTATTTAAAACTGTCATATATATAGATATAAGAAGATGTGGTATGAGTGCAAATGAGACAACTCTCCATCCAAGTCAAAATTTATAAAAGTAAACCATTATAGGTCAGAGTACGGTCTTCAACACGGAGCCTTGGCTCACACCGAACAGTAAGCTATAAAGGGCCCCAAAAATTACTAGTGTAAAACCATTCAAACGGGAAAACCAACGGTCTAATCTACATAAAAAACGAGAAACACTTATGAACCACATC